TCAGCTACAGTCTGTTCCAGTACTACGCCATGTTTACGGTGGTGCTCAACCTGCTGCCCTTCGCCGTGCGCTCCTTCCTGGACCACCGCCTGCTGCAGAAGTTCCTGCGCACCCGCGGCGCCGACGAGCGCCAGGCCGCCATCACCTACGGCGCCATGTTCATCGGCATCCACTCGGGGCTGCGGAAGCGCAAGGCCGTCGTGTCCTTCGTCAGCCTGTTGGTGATGGCCATCAACGCCGGCCTGCTGATGGCCATCTCGCACTTCACGCTGCTCGACCTGAGCAGCTACCCGTTCGAGCAGTACCTGGGCGAGATCACGAGCCCGTTCGGCCACGTGTTCCCCGGCACGGCGGAGTGCAGGGTCAACCCCCCCATGATGCTCGGCGCCTACACGGACACCTTCGGCTGCCACTTCCCGCTGGCGCAGCACTACCGCCACATGTTCGTGGCCATGCTCATCGTCCTCGGCCCCGCCCTCGTGCTCATCCCGCTCACCTTCCTCAAGGACGTCCTCATGGTCTTCGCGCCGCCCTCCGTCAGCCTCGTGCACACCGCCTGCCGCGAGCCCGACCTCGAACGCCGCATCGCCAGGCAGTGGACCCGCGACGAGCTCGAGGCGCTGCGCGTCGTGCGCCACAAGACGGACATGAACTCCTTCATCTGGATCCTGCGGCAGCTGGACTACGAGGAGGACCCGTTCGAGGTGCGGGTGGTCGGCAAGGCGCGCCACTGCCACGTCGCCACCGCGCTCGACGAATCCTCCGACCTGGCGAACTCCCTCAGTGAGGAAAGCCTTCCCTCCTTCAGCGAGGACAAGGTCCACCTGGACTCCGGCCTCAGTGCCTCCAGCTCCGACTCCCGCCTCAGCCACTGACGAAGCCTCTGAGCGCCTCGTCAGCGCCCCTGCGTTCGAAGCTGCTGCCCAGTGTTCGTAAGTATGAGCAATGAAATTTTTTATTAACAACAACAGAAATATTATCATTAATATTACTGATAACAGTTAAAATAATATTGGCAATCAAATCCCCATACAACAAAAAAGGAAAATAATATATGTACATATCAAAATTAACGTGTGCTTTAGATAGCGAGTGTCTTCGTCACGCCTATATGTAATATATGTGATCTGAGTAGACTTTAAAATTCAACGTATATACAGTGCTAAATCCTGAAACTATAGCTATAATCATTGAGAGAGAGATCGAGATCAGAGAGGAGTGCCATACAACAGCCTGAAAGAGTATTTGATTATCGTGAAATATCCGAGCTCGAGGCTGGCACATGGCACATGGACAACATCCGATGTGTCTCTCTTATTATTAAGAATTGAAAACCCATTCAAAGAGAATGGGGTTTTGTTTTGTTTTATTTTATTTATTTTTTTTTATGGTTTATTTGGCTCTGCTGAAGTTGTGATTTGTTCGTCCCTGGTGCTGTGAACAAAAATGGAAGAGCCCAGGATATTGATGAAGACAAGGAAAGAAGATACCTGAGAAGAACAAATAGTGTAAAAGTGACAGGTTGGGATATAAATACTTGGATTTTTGTAGATGAAAGTTTATTTTACTGCAGAAGTGTAATGATCTTTGACCCAATATATCATCAACAATTGTAAGCTCATTAAGTGGTTTGATATTATCCCCTTCTCTCAGTTACCTCTAAGGCTGAAGTTAGATCATAAGTAACCTTTATGAATATATATAATTTAGTGTGGGTTCTAAAGAGTACTTTTGGAGAAACCACACATTTGTAGTAACAGACAGAGCCCCTCTGGATAAAGTCTGAGTGGTTCCCAGAGCAAAGAGAAGTAATAAGGTCTTTGCTAAGGAGCATAGAAAACACAAACAAACAAACGCTCAAATACACAACTCCGCGAACGCGCACATACATTCACGCGTGCAAGTATCCAGGATTCAAATTAAGTCTAAACCCAATAATATGCTGAAGAAAATATAGATAACTTTTAAAAATTCTATATCTTGGTTAACAAGTAAATTAAATGCTCTTTTGAACAAGGCTTGTTGCTCTGTTCCCCATAAGACGATGTAATACTTCTTGGGGTTCCGTTCCTCGCTGGAGGAGGCCGGTGACTTGTCGCTGAGCGCCTATTCCGTGCCCGGGAAACACACTTGCCAGGCTGATAAGTAATTAGTGCTCCTGAAACTGCAGATTCGTGACAAGTTAGTCAAATAAGCTATGTTGCAGGAAGAGGTGGAAGACCTGGTGGGTAAGTACATTGACTTGAAGAAGAGGCATGAGCTCTCGAGGCTGAGGAGGAAGGAAGCTCGTCGAAAGTGCGCGGAGAAGAAGGAAAGGAAGAGACAGAAGCTTGCTGCGGGAGAGATGAAGCAGCAATAGAAATTGGAGAAAATGAAAGCAAAGGAGCGTAGAGCTCTCGAGAACAAAGAGTTGAAGAAGGGCAAGTAAGCTGAGAGGCATCGAAAAGCTCTCGAGAAAGAGGAGTTGAAGTAGGCCAAGTAAGCTGAGAAGGACCGAAGAATGCTCAAGAAAGAGGCGTACAAAGAAACTGAGAAGTGCCTTGAAGCCCTCAAGGAAGAGGAGTTGAAGATGGACGAAGGAGTTGAGAAGTTCCGTAGAACGATCCAGAAACTGAAGTCCAAGAGGGACGAAGAAACTCAGAAGTGCCTTGAAACCCTCGAGGAAGGGAAGCTGAAGATGGAAGAAGAGCTTGAGGAGTACCATAGAGCTCTCACCAAACTGAAGTTCATGAAGGACGAAGAAACTCAAAATTGCCTTGAAACCCTCGAAGATGAGGAGTTGGAGATGGACGAAGGAATTAAGAGGTACCGTAGGACGCTCGAGAAACTGAAGTTCAAGAAAGACAAAGAAGCTCGCAATTGCCTTGAAACCCTCGAGGAAGAGGAGTTGAAGATGGACGGAGGAATTGAGAAGTACCGTAGAACACTCAAGAAACTGAAGTTCAAGAAAGACAAAGAAGCTCGCAAGTGCCTTGAAACCCTCGAGACAGGGAAGCTGAAGATGGACGAAGAAGTTGAGAAGTGCCACAGAGCTCTGGAGAAGCTGAAGTTCAGGAAAGCGAAAGAAGCTGAGCAGTGTCTTAAAACCCTCAAGACAGGGGACCTGAAGAAGTACCAAGAAACTAAGAAGTGCATTGAATTCCTCGAGAAATTGAAGTCGAAGGTGGACGAGGAAGTTCGGAAGTTCTTTAGAGCCCTCAAGATGCTGATGTTCAGGAGAGACAAAGAAGCTGAGAATTGTCTTCAAACCTTCGAGAGAACGGAGTTGGAAATGGACGAACAGTTTGAGGAGTACCGTGGTTTTCTCGAGAAACTGAGGTTGCAGATAGGCGAAGAAACTGATAAGTGCCTTGGGTCCCTTGAGAAAGAGGAGCTGGCCTTGGACGAAGTTGGGGCGTCCCGTAGATTCCTCGAGAAACTGAGGTTCAAGAAAGACAAAGAAGCTGAGAAGTCTCTTGAAACCCTCGGAGATGAGGAGTTGGAGATCGACGAAGAGGTTAAGAAGTCTCTTGAAGCTCTCGAAAAGATGGACGAAGTTCAGGAGTATCGTAGATTCCTCGAAAAAATGCAGTTCAAGAAGGACAAGGAAGCTGAGAAGTCTCTTGAAGCCAACGAAGAGATGGACGAACTTCAGGAGTATCGCAGGTTCCTTGAGAAACTGAAGGACAAGGAAGCTGAGAAGTCTCTTGAAGCCCTCGAGGAGAAGGACGAAGTTGAGGAGTATCGCAGGTTCCTCTAGAAAATGCAGTTCAAGAGGGACAAGGAAGCTGAGAAGTCTCTTGAAGCCCTCGAGGAGAAGGACGAAGTTGAGGAGTATCGCAGGTTCCTCTAGAAAATGCAGTTCAAGAGGGACAAGGAAGCTGAGAAGTCTCTTGAAGCCCTCGAGGAGAAGGACGAAGTTGAGGAGTATCGCAGGTTCCTCTAGAAAATGCAGTTCAAGAGGGACAAGGAAGCTGAGAAGTCTCTTGAAGCCCTCGAGGAGAAGGACGAAGTTGAGGAGTATCGCAGGTTCCTCTAGAAAATGCAGTTCAAGAGGGACAAGGAAGCTGAGAAGTCTCTTGAAGCCCTCGAGGAGAAGGACGAAGTTGAGGAGTATCGCAGGTTCCTCTAGAAAATGCAGTTCAAGAGGGACAAGGAAGCTGAGAAGTCTCTTGAAGCCCTCGAAGAAGAGGAGATTGACGAAGAATCTGCCCGAAAATCTCCCACGTAATTTTTATATATGCTTCTGCATATATATATGTGTCTGTATATAAATGTAAACATATATATATACACATATACACACACACATATATATATATATGTATATATATATATATATATATATATATATATATATATATACATATATATATATATATATATATATATATATATATATATATATATATATATATATATTTTTTTTTTTTTTTTTTTTTTTTTTTTAACAGCCATTCATTCCACTGCAGGGCATGGGTCTCCCTCAATTCACTATTGAGAGGTTATATGGCAGTGTCACCCTTGCCTGATTGAATGCCCTTCCTAATCAACCGCGGTTCGGCGCGTTAACACTTGTGCCACGGCGGTGACTTCCCCTACGACACCTGCGTTCGACTTCTCAAGGCGATATGTTGTTTTCTCGAGCTCGAGCAAGCGGTCAGAGCGCAGGCATTTTTACGACTGCCGCGACGGGGAATCGAACCCGTGACCACGAGGGTCGGAGTACAGTGCTCTAACCACTGAGCTATCGCGGTATATATGTATATATGCATATATATATATATATATATATATATATATATATATATATATATATATATATATATATATATATATATATATATATATATATATGAGAGGGAGAGAGGCAGGGAGGGAGGGAGAGGGAGAGAGGCAGGGAGGGAAGGAGAGGGAGAAAGGCAGGGAGGGAAGGAGAGGGAGAGAGGCAGGGAGGGAGGGAGAGGGAGAGAGGTAGGGAGGGAGGGAGAGGGAGAGAGGCAGGGAGGGAGGGAGAGGGAGAGAGGCAGGGAGGGAGGGAGAGGGAGAGAGGCAGGGAGGGAGGGAGAGGGAGAGAGGCAGGGAGGGAGGGAGAGGGAGAGAGGCAGGGAGGGAGAGAGGCAGGGAGGGAGGGAGAGGGAGAGAGGCAGGGAGGGAGGGAGGGAGAGGGAGAGAGGCAGGGAGGGAGGGAGGGAGAGGGAGAGAGGCAGGGAGGGAGGGAGGGAGAGGGAGAGAGGCAGGGAGGGAGGGAGGGAGAGGGAGAGAGGCAGGGAGGGAGGAGGGAGAGGGAGAGAGGCAGGGAGGGAGGGAGGGAGAGGGAGAGAGGCAGGGAGGGAGGGAGGCAGGGAGGGAGGGAGGGAGAGGGAGAGAGGCAGGGAGGGAAGGAGAGGAGGAGAGGAAGAGAGGGAGAGAGGGAGGGAGGGAGGGAGGGAAGGAGAGAAAGAGAAAGTGAGAGAGAAAAAGAGAGAAGGAGATAGGGAGGGAGGAAGAGAGGAAGAGAGAGAGAGAACAAGAGAGAATGGGAGAGAGGGAGGGAAAGGGAAACAGAGAGATTCTTTAAACAAGTCGACCGGCCACTGTGTTGTAAGTATCTGAGTTTAGTTCGTAAGTGTGTATATCTTTGCCTATATTTCAAATGTTTTTATAGTTTTTAGGTTTTAAGTTTGATATTAGTTGTAAAGATGATTTTGAATCTGAAAATATTACTGATGTTACTAACATGTTTTAGATGTAGGTAATACCTTGTTTTATTGCAAAAATTTCTATCTCTGTTATTTCCGCTTCAACTGGTAATTTGCATATTGTTGTTGTGTGTGTTTGTCTTTCATTTCGTTTTTATGTGTTTGTCTTTCATTTTGATCCAACTGTGAATATTTTTTCATAATTCAAATATCTTGTGTTTTCCATCCTTAAAAATTGGGCCTTGTTTATTTGTTCAGATACATTTATTGTTAGGTCTTCTATGAAATTTGTTTCTACATTTTTAGAAATATCAAACCATGGTGGAATAGGTGCTATGTTTGATAACGTTTTTGTTTTTATTGTTATTTGTAATTCTTTACAGGTTTCTGTTACTCTGTACTAAGCATCTCTTGTCTTTTTGGGAGTTATGTTCTTCTATATTTGCTGTTACGTATCTTTTCATTTGATTATTTTCTTGTTTTTCAAATATTTTCATAATTTGCATACACTCTAGTTCTTTATGCTTGTATTTGATGGGCATTTTATTTGTAAGTGATATAATTCTAATATTGAGGGGGTTCTTAAGCAGGTAGCTATTCTGAGTGTTATTTTGTACAATTTCTAGTTTTTTTTTAATATATATATTATATATATATTTTTTATATATATTTATTTTTTCTATGAATTTTTATTTTTTCATATATATTTTTATTTTCATAAATATATATTTTTATGTGTTTATTCTATTTGAGGAATTTATTTGTAAATTGTTGATGTGATTTTTTATTATCAAATTTAGAATATTTTTTACCAT